TCACTGCTGTAAATTCTACTTATTCATTTTCATTGGGAAATAACTCATTTTCATTGGGTTATTCACGAGTAACGTAAGCAGTTATTTTCCTGCTACCAACTAGTAGTTGTTACTAAGCTCAGATGAACACCTTTAAGTGAGTTCATTGTATTCTATACCATGTAGAGGACTTACGGGCTGGCAAATTTGTGACAAATAAAAGCCATAGTCCAGACAAACTGGAATAATCTTTAGATGCATATAAATAATTCAAAGGAGTACTGGATTACATGTAAATAATCCAAATTCAAAAAATACATTGAATTTCTCAGTATGATGAGTTTTTTTACTTTTTTTTAAACAGCTCTGGAGTCCAAATTAGTCAACCAATTTTGTGAAGATGAACATGGTACCTTAATATACAACCGTAATGGAAATGGTGCAAGCATAAGTGGACCATCTCTCCATTCAGTGTCTTCAAGTTCTTTACATTACATACTTCAGAACAACAATGTTAATAGCCAATCACTTTCAGCACAGACAGCTGGAGTATCTACAGTAGAAAGTCCTCTGAGTCTTGGCGATCTTCCTCAACCATTAGCTCCGGTATGAAAATTCAGCAGGCTTTAATGAGCAAAAGTTTTATATATGTATCCTTCTCTGTTGCCTGATGTAATATGTAACTTTCCCCCTACTTTTCTACAGGACAGGTACTGTAATAGCTCCTTTAAGTTGGTATGCTCAGAGCTGGTTGTTCCGAGTAAGAGTTCTGATGTGGCATGCAGGCAGTTATCTAATGGCTATAATTTATTCCTGATACTGTTACAAGGATTATTATTCCTGTGTTTAATACAGTAATATTTGTGCCACAGTGTGAAACATAATGTTATTAAAATGCAATTACACTGTAATAATTAAGTCTAAGAATAGTAATTAAACTCAATTGTAGTCTATATTTTTAAGTTTATAAATAAAATTCTGTAAAGGTCAACTAAAAAAAAATATATGCCAGGTTTAGGATTGACAACCCTCCTAGTTAACCAACGAGGTGAGGTTAAAATCCTGATTCTTAACGCTGAAGTCAGGGTAAATAGGAAGGAAAAACATTAGAAAACCTCTGAGTGAGGAAGGGCTTGTTCATTTTGAGACACTTCACAATATCTGAAAAACAAAGAAAATCAAATGCTTATTTCAGACCAAAGCACCTCCTGTGGTAGTATATGAAGCGGAACAAGAGGAAAAGGAACACTCATCCTTGCTAACAGTGGACACTAGAGGTATTTTTATCATCAATCATTTCTTCATTTTTGGCTGATGAAAAAAATCAATGTCTCATTCTGCTTCTTTTCACCTGCAGCTGTGGTACCATTATTGCCATCTAAACCATCATCATCAGACAAAGTGATGACATCATCTCTTTCAACTGCAGGGCTCACACCAAGACCAGGTTATAGATCGTAACTAGTTTTTCATTTTGTTCCCTCTTATCCTGATACTAACTTTTCCTAAGGCTTTAAATCAGCATAATTTTGTTCCACCCTCTGAAGATTTCGTGAGCCCATGCTGTGGAAGAGAATTCATTTCAGGATTTTATAATAGATCCTAGTTGCAGTTCTTGTCCAGCCTGTTCACCAGTTCTTGTCTTCCCAAATTCCAAATCCCACCGCTCCACTTACAGCAGAAGCAAGGTCAGCTATAACCTGAGACAGAGCTCATAAATGACATCAAGAGAAGCTAGCTGAGGTGGGTCAGTGAGCAGGTAATTCATCAGCCGAGAAGGAGCAGTCTGTAGAGATGGGAAGCTTCATTAAAGACAGAGAAGATAATGATTTCAGAATTGGACGGAAAACAGATTTCTCCTTCAGAGAAGAAATAGGAAAAAACGGTGTTTAGTCATTTGAAGGAAAGTATAGTAATTAGCTGACTGCTCAAAGGATTGATTCTTTTTATATGAAATGTCCAAATGTATTCTGTTCATCATTTGGGGGATTCACACTTTTGAGTTCCAGTAATAGTGTATTATGATGGGAGCAACAGAAGAGAGCAATAGAAACATGTTCCCATGCTCCCTGGGAACATGGACATGCCTATTATTCTGTCTGTGGCAATAACTTTTTTTTTTTTAAAGTGTCAAGATACTAATTGCCGAAGACAGAATATTGATGTCACAACATTAAACTTGAAGGAAGAGTATTTTCTATCTCATGGTATTATTACAGTGAGTGAGACTAGATTAGTATGTCACAGTCCTCTAATGCATATCTGTAGGAATCATTAGACCAACAAGCTTTACGTTCAAACTTAACTAGTATGTACATAATTACTACCATTGTATTAGGTAAGTAGCACAAATATCTTACAAAAGAAAGACTAAAGTTTTATATTCTTCTCACTATTCTAATGCCTTTTCTCCCACACCACAAAGAGAACTAATGTACTGAAGCAATGTACTGCAGAAGGATGATGGTCATACTTGTGGTTCGAAAACAGCAGATACAACTAGCTTACAGCTCTTTGGCTTACAATTTTGGGTTGCTCACAAGACTGGTTGCTGATAATTAAATTTCAAAAATTAGATTTCAAAATTATAAGATTCATATTGTTTGTTCTTCTTGTATGTGGAGCCATAATACTATTATTTCTGGAGTTACTAGAACCATGCCAGTAAAGGAACAGTTTACTTGACCTACTAAGATGCACTTTTAACTTGCCTTCAATGCTAACATCTTTAGAAGTAAAAATGAATCTTAAACTGCTGTATAACATTAGCAGAAAAAATTAAAATAAAACCAGAGTTTGAAAGTTAAAATCTATGCAATACAATTGTCTTTTACAAACTGAATTGTTTCTATTCCTTTTTTTCTTTATTTTAGAAAGTATCCTGGACCTCCAGTGCAAGTTAAGGCTGGATCAAGGGCCATGCCGTGTTTATATCATAAAATGGTATTACGATAAACAAGCCAATGCTTGTGCTCAGTTTTGGTATGGTGGCTGCGATGGAAATGCAAATCGCTTTGAGAGTGAAGAGGAATGTAGAGAGGCTTGTGTATTTTTTTCTGGAGGTAGGAATTTGTTTCTGTATTAATAACGAGCAAGTTGAAGCTACTGATTGTTTGGGTTTGTTATCAAGTATCCAGCATGGTATGTAAAACCAAACCCACTAATTTAAAGAATGTTAACATTATGAAGTCATATGCTCACTAATTAAAAAAATGTCTACCTATGCAAGCTCACTTTAATTTTTTTTGCATATATTGTATGATGTAGTCCTTATGTAACAAAATAGCAATGTTTCAGCAGTATCAAGAGCACAAAACTTCCTTTTTACTAAGATATAGTAAGACTAGTATAGCATTTGCCATAGTAATTGCCCTTCCTTCACCTAGATCTTTAAATACTACCATTGTACAATCACTAACTATACCTCATTTTAAATTATATATATGGCTTTGGAAAGCAATCTTTCATCTTTAAAATTATGTAATTTCTTTTCTTTCTGTTACAGAAATCTGATATTTGGCATGGATTCTGCAATGAAGACTTCACTTTTTTTAAGTGAAAGTGTTCCCACAAATCCTGTTTTAATATTTCAAGCAAATCCTATTTTAATATTTCAAGCATAAAATATCAATTTCCAAATTACATGCAGAGTACTACTCAGTACAGATAAATACAGCAAAAGCATCAACTTGTGGCCTATGTGCTCTCTGGGTCACAAGACAAGAGAGGTGGCTCAGCCACCCACCTTTCCCAACCACATCAGTTATATTTAGTCCTTTTTTCTGTAAACTTTCCTCAGTTTCTATTAGCTAGCAAGATACATGACAAATGCAGTTAAAACACATCCACATTTATAGCAGTGACTACACCAATAGCTGGCATCACTAAATTAGGTTAGTTCATGTCTGAAGTGGTCCTTGACATGTGTTTCTCTTCTGAAAGCCAAGTCTAATTTTTAAATGCATTTTAGTATTTTCATCTTTCTTAAAAAACTTTTTAAACTTATGTTCAAAACATCAAACGCAGCATAGAGTTTATTCTTTATTGCCAGTCACTGCCATATTGCTTTTTAGATTTACGTCTGCCTGTATATGATGTATTTCCTATTACTTGACTTATATACTTAAAAGCTTGTTTCTAATAAAACATTTCTGGTTTTACTGCCAGGACAGAGAATGGATAACGGTACCTTTACAGGACTAAAAACTTACCTCACAGCTAAACTACACTTACTGTGTAATGTGCTCCTGATGATGTAACTGGATTTCTGCCACAGCCCTTAACAAGACTGAACGTCTCAGATTAGGCACTCCTGCATATGAAACCCGATGATCATTTTTGGTTGGGTTTGTGGGTTGTTTTCCTGAACAAATGGTAAGTCTGGCAGATGAACAAAAAATGGAATTTGGCCTCAAGCCAAACACGCGCTACCCTTCCTACTTCAAGAGCCCCCGGCCGCACTCCCGCCGGGGCCGCAGCAGAACCCCGCCTGGGCGCAGAGGCACGCCGCTCCCCCTGCCAGCGCGGGAGGATGCAGGGCGGAGGGAGAGGAGGAGGAGGGACGGGTAGCGCCGACAATGTTTTTTACTTCATCAAGTTTGTATCGTCTTCCAGGTGGGTCGCAACGGGCTCCTCACCAATTCAGGGACCAGCTCCAGGGAAGCAACTGTCAAAGGACAAGTTTCTTCCTATGATTCTTAAGAGTATTTTTTTATTTGGTAGGATACTGCAATTAAAATTTGGCTAGATACAATTCTCAAGTTATTCCAAATTAAAAATACGATACATCCCATCTAGTTTAAAAAAAAAAAAAACAACAAAAACCACAGGACTTAGAGCTGTAATTTACAGAGTAAGCGAGGGTTTCACAGGTTTTAGGTTTAGCGACTGCACAGGGGTTTGGTTTAACGAGCGTCCACGGCAATACACAGAATCATAGAATCATAGAATCATCGAGGTTGGAAAAGACCTCTAAGATCATCGAGTCCAACCGTCAACCCAACACCACCATGCCCGATGTTACCTTACCAAACAAAACTAAGACGCGAAGAAAAGCTGCAACTACTACACGTTCCAACTGCTCAGAGCACTCCGCTCTCCTTCACAAAACGTTCACAAACGCCAAGCCGTTGGCGTTGCCGAGGCTGTACAAGCACGCCACCGGGTCGGCCACAACGCACGACGGCCAGAGCGCGGAAGGCGGTGGGCTAGCCCAGCCCCCACGACCACAAAGCCCAGTGCCACCCGCGGCCGCCACCTCAGCCGAGCTGGGGGCGGGCCTAGGGCAGGCGGGAGAGCGAACGGCGCCCCCACGTGCAGCGCCGCAGCCAATCCCGATCGCTGCGAGAGCGCGAGAGACCACCCCCGTTGCCACGGCGGCGCGCGGACTCGCCGGAGGGAGAGGTGCGCTGCGGTAGGCAGCCATGAGCGCGGTGCTGGACGTGCTGTGGGAGGACAGAGATGTCCGCTTCGACATCTCCCCGCAGTGAGTGTCGTTGCCCTGCCCTCCCCTTACAGCAGGGCTTTCGGACCCGTCCGGCGTCTGTCAGTAGGCTGAGCGCGGGCGCCATTAGTGGCGCGGTGCATGCTGGGAGCCTTCCCAGTGTGGCGGCGCGGGGGGGGAGCGTGTTTTCCTGGCAGAGCGGGAAAAGGTTTGTGTGGCCGTTGAGACTCGGGGGGGCTGGCTGAGGAGTTTTTGGTAGGTGGAGTCTAGTCACCGTTTCCAGTCTATAAAACAAAAAATAAAAAGGTTGTACACTGGAGGACTGAGGGAAGGGTGTTCTTTTCCCAGCCGCCCGTAGAGTTACCTGTCGCTGAGAAGTAAAAACAAACTTAAGGTGTGTGCCTGAGGGGACAGTACCAGTCACTGGTAACAAGGACTCGGCGTCCCTGCCGTGGTGTTGGCAGCCTGAGCTCACGGAAACGGGCAGTGGCTGTGCAGCCTCCGAGGGGCCAGAGCTGAAGGGTTGTCAGGTACATCCTCGCTGAGGCAGTGCTTACTCACTCCCGTAGGCCTTGACCTCTGATGAGCTGTCAGCCTTATCTGAGACATAAAACTGCTCTGGTTTCTGTGGCAAAACCCTGCATAGCTTTTGTAATATGGAACTACAAATTAGCAGCTGGTTGGTGCTGATTTTGGGGGTGGAGGCTGAAAGTGTATTGTCATGCTTCATCTCCCTCCTACTCAGTTGACCCTACTGAGAACACCCTTTGTCCCTCAGGCATGCTGCCTGCAGTAATTTTAGAAACATGAAATTGTACCTTGGATGTTTAAGCAGTTCTGTGTTATTTTCTTTTAGAATTGTCATGTAGACAGAGCCTGCTTCCGTATTTTCTTTAATGCTAATGTTACTATTCTTGCTACCTCCTGTCTAATATCTTTTGTGCTGTTCTGGTGATGTATTGTTGAGGCCATACCTGGTGTCTCGATCCTGATCTCCAGTAGTATCTCATGGAATTTCACTCCTCATAATGCATTTTGTTTTTGTCATGCCAATACACTGAAGAGTTTTGGCTACCTTACACAATGCAATTAAAATACAGCAAAATTTTACACCACACCTGTTGTTATATAATTAAGTGGTTAGACCAGTTAAATCAAGCAAAATACGAAAAAAAAACCCAAACCCAAACCACACCCTTTGTGGAAAATTTAGCAGAACATTTCACGTGTTGGTATACATCTGATATTTCCTTTGAGGGCATCTATTCTTTCCTGAGCCTAGCTCCACTCCTTATGATGTAAAAGTACAGCAAGAGGCAACAAACTCTATCCATTAAAAATTATGTGAATGCAACTTTTTTGCTTTTCCCTCCCATTTTCACACACTTTCTCCCTATTCTGGAGTGTAATTTGCTTGGTCATATTTGCTACACATTTATTTATTGTTAGAATTTACTAATAAAGGTATTAATATTTTTCATATGCCAGGTGTAGTGACAACAATTTCAGGTATATAATGTTGATTTGTATGTATGTGTGCATATGTGGATTTTTCATTGTATGATGCACTAAGCAAAAAAAGGGGAAAGGAAAGCAAAGTGGGGAAATAGAAATGGCCTTCTTTTGGAGGATAAATCCAATCTATTTTTCATTAGGTAATTTTTTTATTTTCTTTTAGACAAATGAAAATGAGACCTGGAGAGGTCCTTATAGACTGCTTAGAGTCTGTAGAAGATACCAAAGGAAACAATGGAGACAGAGGTAACTGCATGCTCAGGGAAATTGTAAACTTTCTAATATTTATCCTGTGTAGGTTCATGAAAGCCCTGTCTGGTTTCCATTGAACTCTGTATCGATGGTTGTTGCAGAAAATAGATCCTGCCTGTTTCACAGATCTGTCTCCCCTTGGAGTATTTTCAAATAGGATCTCTTGTTCAAAGTTATAGGAAGGTGATAATCTTGTCTCAGAATTTGTTTAGAATTGAAAGCCTTGTAAGAATAATCTATTTATAAACATTGTGGTGATCTTTTGCTGTAATCCTGTTTAATGCTTAGTTTTTCCTAACCTGATTTAAACTGAATCAGTAAGGGATATATATAGTGTGTGTGCAAGGGCATGAAGCTCCAGCATTCTGAGATGACCCTTCCTGGAGTTGGACGTGTTGATGTACAGGGTACAAAATCAAAGAAATTTGCACGTGACATAAAGGGGTGAGGTTATTCATGAAGGCAGCTGCGATAGTTAACTCGCTGCCTTCCCCTTCTCCTCCCCAGAGCAGTTCTGCACTGATTGTGTCTCTGCATTTTTACTATAGGCAGGTGGATGTGAAATCAGTAATTGTTCTTGGTTTGTTTTTGAGGAATGCTGGTATATATTAGAGGTTGTTTCATTTGTTCCTTGCTGGATTTTCTCTCCTAGCATTCAAAAACAAAAAAAAGTGATCAGTGATTTTTCTGCTGGGGTGTCCTGTGCTTTTCTTCTTTTTCGTATCAAGGGGAAGGAATATTCTGGTGTTTCAAAACTAGAGGTAAATATGTACCATAGAATGGAACATTTAATTTAATAGAAGTTATTCAGATTAAAAATATCTACACTCCTTATTTCCAGGTAGACTGCTTGTGACAAATTTGCGGATTATTTGGCGCTCATTGTCATTGCCCAGAGTCAATCTCTGTAAGTATCATCTCCTATTAAACAACTGCAAATTCTGTGTTTCCTTTGTGGTGGCATACTGTTCTTTCACAATAGTATTAATTACAGTACAGAATAGTGAAGTATAGTTCTGTTGCTCTGTAAAGTCTGAAATAAACTGTTACTGATGAATCTATTTGTAATATAGGAACTGTTACAATAATTCATAGCAAAATATTAATATTCAATGTTAATTTCTCAGAACATAAATTGAAGAGTACTTCAGACATATTTTTATTCGGCCTATGTGGGATTAATTCGTTTTTCTAGAAAGAAACAAAAGTTTGAGTTTCTTCACACCTTGCTTTACTTGTACTTCCTGTTGCCACCTGTTTATTCACATTCTGTATTGTCCTACAGTTTTTATTCCCCACAAGTAACTGCCTTTCCAAATTTACTGTTTTAAGCTCTGAAGAAGCTTCTAATTTTAACTGTATGAGTAGCTAGCGGGTCTAGTCATATTTAATTGAATTTGCTGAAACAGGGGCAGCATGCACTTACTTTGTACCCATATTATTTCCAGCGCTCAGTTCCCAATAGCCAGTCAGTATTGAAAATCTGTATTCTGTTCATAATGTATATAAACTTATGCCCTCTGTCTGCTTGCTTTTCTGCATTTGCTATCTCATACGTGTACACACCTACAAGTGTACACACACACACTGCTACTTTTATATGTATTTATAAAATTAAAAACAATTGTTTGTTTGTATATTTAAGACTTAGAATAGAACTTTTTAGAGGAGATCACAAAGAAGCTTATGGAGTAGTTCAGCCCTATAGAAGCTCAAGGAAGTCTAACCTATGGCTTTTAGAGCTTAAAATACTCTCTAGCTTTCAAGATAATGCATTATTTCTTACATTAAGGGAATATATAGACAAAAAATAATATTTTATTGGATGCCATTTTTGACCATTGCTGTTTCTTTTAGTTTTAGAAAATTTCTCATAAGCAACCTAGGAAATAGTCTTTTTCTGGTATTTTCTTAAGTATTAATTCCATAAAGACTGAATATTCTTATCTACATAACTGCTGCCACAATTCTAGTTCTCCTTTGATTTTTTTTTTTTTTCTTTTGGAACCTGGCTGTGCTATTGGTATCAGTAGCAGGACTGTCATTGACATTCAGATTTAGCCCAGCACCATTTTAGTGCATCCGTTTGTTTTAGGAAGAATGGCTGGGATTGTTTCTGGTTTTATTTTGTATCAGAGCACTACTGTAGAAGAGGTAAAGTGAAATTTGTAACTGTTTTATCCTCCTCTTCTTTTTGTTTCTTCTCCACTTACACTTCCCATTTTGCTGCTTTTTTTCTTTGTCATATCCTTAGCTCTTCTTCTTCTGCAAAGTATATCGATGTAGAAAGTTTTATTTATAAGCGTAAAATTGATGGGCAACATTATGATGAAACAGACCTTCTTGAGGCAGAAGTTAAACACTGAAACAAGGGAAATTCTGATTAGATATTAGGAAAAAAACGTTCACAATGATGGCAGTCAAACAGTGGAACAGGCTCCCAGAGCGGTTGTGGAATCTCCTTCTTTGGAAATATTCAAAACTCAATTGGACGGTACCCTGAGCAGCCAGATGGAGTTGGTCCTGCTTTGAGAAGAGCATTGGACCAGACAACCTCCCAAGGTCCTTTCCAGCTTAAATTAGTCTTTGATTTTGTGATGAAGGCCCAGACCATTAACCATAATGTGCAGTTCTCACAAATAGCATCCAAACCTGTGCTACAGAATTCAATATTGTACTTCGTAATTTTGACTATTATTTTTTCTTGTTCTCAAAACAGTTCTTTTTTTTTTTCTCCCCTAACTTTTAGCTGTTGGTTACAACTGCATTATAAATATAACCACAAGAACTGCCAACTCGGTAAGTTTCAAAAAATACTTTTTAAAAAGAATAAAAGGAGCTGTAATTCATTGTTTGTACTTACTGTATTATATCAACAATAATCTGAAAGTTTACTTGCAAGAACAGTAATAGAATAGTAGTGGAAGTTCAGTTTTACAAGTTGAGAGAGTTTTACATTTCTATAGGAGTGTGGTTTTAGTCAGCTTCCTAAGGCAGTAAAACTCATGTAATCACACTGGTGATTCTTCTCCCCGCTAGGTAAATCAAGCACATGTTGGCTCATTGTGTCTAAATTTAACAAAGGTCTAGAGAGGCACTAATTTTGTGCAAGAAAGCTCTCAAATACGTAGCCTGAATTACATGCAACTGTGAAGCCATTTGTTTGGCTTGCAGCAAAGAACTAGCCGGGAGATATGTAGGTTCCCTGGGCAGCCACATGGTAACAAAGCCAAAAATACTGTTTCAGTCATGATATTGCAAATGTATAGCAGGCAGGCTTCATTAGTTCTACTGTTGATGGAACTGCTAGTTTCTCCAAAAAAACTGAGTTCAGTTGAAGACATCAGTAATCAGTGGTAGAATCAGGATTACACCTTCAGATACACTATTTAGAAAATATGTCAAGATTATTTATTGCCTGTACAGTCAAGCTACTATATTGTCAAAATGTTAAATTTCATTTTTTCCTTACAGAAATTACGAGGGCAGACGGAAGCTCTGTATATATTGACTAAATGTAACAATACACGGTTTGAGTTCATATTTACCAATGTTGTCCCCGGCAGTCCCAGACTCTTCACTTCAGTTATTGCTGTACACAGGTAGCATACTTAAAATAGTGTTTGTTCATTTACAAAATTCAATTAATCAAATATGTGGGATTACTACTGCTGATGGACCGGGTATATAACTGCCCAAATTTAACATTCAGGAAACTTTCCCAAAAGAGGAGAACGCAATCTCTGAAAGGAAGGGAGAGAATGATCACAAATTCATAGAATCATGGAATCATAGAATAGTTTGGGTTGGAAGGGACCTCTAAAGGTCATCCTTTAGATGACCGTGGGCAAGGGCATCTTCAACTAAATCAGGTTGCTCAGAGCCCCGTCCAACCTGACCTTGAATGTTTCCAGGGATGGGGCACCCACCACCTCTCTGGGCAACCTGTGCCAGTGTTCTACCACCCCCAGCGTAAAAAATTTCTTCCTTCTATCTAGTCTAAATCTCCCCCCCTTTAGTTTAAAGCCATTCCCCCTTGCCCTGTCACAACAGGCCCTGCTAAAAAGTTTGCCCCCATCTTTTTTATAAGCCCCCTTTAAGTACTGAGAGGCTGCAATAAGGTCTCCCCGAAGCCTTCTCTTCTCTAGGCTGAACAACCCCAACTCTCTCAGCCTTTCTTCAGAGGAGAGGTGTTCCATCCCCTTCATCATTTTTTTGACCCTCCTCTG